TGTTTTTTTTTTTTTTTTTTGTTATTTGGAGACATGATTATGAGAGAGAGAGTTTGAAGAGATTTTAGAGAGAGATTTAGGTTAACAGAGGTATAATTCCACTATTCATTATTGGATCACGTTAGTTTTTTAATATGTTACACACCTTGATAGATCTATAATATGATTGATTGAATTTTGATAAGCTGTTATTGTTAAGAGAAATTGTTGTTGGTATTTTACTAGAAAAATTGATTTCGAGGCAGCCATATTTACTGGGTCGGTGCTTCTCCAGTCACCGTCTACATCATATTGCTCAGGGAGGTTCACTTGGATATCTTCTTTGTTCTAAATAGTAGAGATTGTATTTGCACAACCCTGAAATTCTGTGATTATTGTTGAAACTATTATTCCAACATGAACACTAATTATCCAAAAATAATAAATTGGTTTAAAAAACTTAAAAATTAGTCAAATAGTTCTCTTCTCAAGCCGCTTCCCACACCACCATAGTCACTAAATTAGACACCAATATTGCTCCTAAACCATCACAACACCTTACACAACTACAACCACAAACATCAAGTATACCATCACCAACAAAAAAATTAAACCTTTTTTTAAGACTTGGGCTAAGAGAGTTATTCACTGATTTTAGTACTTAGTTTACTCTTGACCTCATGCCTAAATAGCAAGTTAAAACCCGCCTAAAAATGTTTAAGGAGATACTAACAAAAATACTTAGCAATAAAACTGATGCATGATTGGTTTATTCCCTAGATTTAAAATGTTATACATTGTTGTTAACACTATCACTAATAGAGTATAAAAGAATTATGGTATGAATAATGCAATGACCACTTTTATAGGTTTATGATTTTTCTTTATATCTATGTTTAATATAGTAAATTGGAATATATCATAACTTAATAGGGCCATAAAAAAAAGAGTTAGAGACTAGATTTTAAATATAATCTTGGTATTATTAGACTATTAAAGACTAAGATTGCTATGGCTAATACAACATAGTTGAATTAGTTATTGCATTGCCTTATTGGACTTTTCTTTCTAATGTTAGTGTTGACTTTAGATGTCGCATTCTAGTGGGTTAAGATCCCTTTCGGTATAGTCTTTCTTGTGAGTGACACGACCAAACGATTAATGTCTTCTCTCAAGTGTAGGAGTGTCGAAGTAATAAATAACTCGACAAGACCGGGGTTGAACCACAGGGAGGTTAATTGTATAAATTATAGATGATAATAATATAACAACAATAACAAGAACAACAACAATAATAATAGTAGTAATACTACTACTACTACTAATAGTAGTAGTAGTAATAATAATAATAATAAATAAGAAGAAGAAAAAAAATTGATGAGAACTTTGAGATGGAAAATTAATGTAAGGATTAAACAATGATAACAATAAATGTCAAGGTTAGAATATCCACTAATGGTATGTGACACGACTAAAAGATTGATGTCTTCTCCCAAGTGCAGGAGTGTCGAAGTAATAAATAACCCAGCAAGACCGGGGTCGAACCACAGGGAGGTTAATTGTATAAATTATAAACAACAATTATAAAACAACAACAACAATAATAATAATAATAACAATAATAATAATAATAACAATAATAATAATAATAATAGTAGTAGTAGTAGTAGTAATAATAATAATAATAATAATAATAATAATAATAATAA